CACCATGACAGTCAGCCAGCCAGTAAAGCAGAAGGTTTATTTAGACGCCAGGAACACAGTCCAAGACAGGTCTTGCAGGCACAGACAACAGAATCCCCCCCCAATTAGGTGCATCTTGGGGTCCCAGGGCACCACAGCCCCCTTGGGGGGTCAGAGCCCCATCTGCCTCCCAGCCATTCCACCAGCCAGCTCTGAAACTCTCCCCTCAGCCTTTGTTCAGTTTCCCAGGCCGAGGTGTCACCTGGCCTCTAACCCCTTCCTGGGTTCTCATGTTACATGCTCAGGTATTCTCCCTCACGGCCAGTCTCCCATCCTCCAATGCAGACCATCCTAGCCACACTCCCCTGCCTTCCCAGCCAACACTCCCCACTCAGCATTCAAAGACCACATTAAGAACAGTCCCAGTTCGTCACAGGAGCCTAAGGCACAAGGATCTTTCAGTGGCTGGCTCAAAGTCACCCACTTCACTGGATAAATCCCTAGTTGCTGGGCTCTGCGGAGGGGTGGGGAGGTGAATTCCAGCCTCCATTCCTGGGCATGGACCCTCCCCCACCTCACAATCCTCACCCCAATCTCAGACACTACCCCAATCCTCCCCTCCAGTGATGGACCCACTTGATGCTGCCAGAGACATTTGCCATGGAATCTAGAGGGGGCAGAGGCCCAGCTCCAGAACTACTACCCGTGCCCACAGCCCCCATCCTGTGCTGGAGTTGCCCTGGCTTTCCACTCTGCAGATCGGTCTAGCGGTACCCAGCCTGTGCACCCACCACACACAAACCTTGTCACAACACACATCCCAGGATCGGGAAAGACCATCTGGCTGCAGTCTCTCTTTGCTGCTGTGAGAGAAATGGGATGGTCCCTCATATAGGACACAAACATACCCAGGGACAGAAGGGAAATGTAGTTTCTTCCAGGGGATTGAAAATGTTTGATTTAGAGTCCTGAGCTCTGTCTTCCTGTTTGTCTCCTTCTGCCACTTTCAGATCTCTTGGAGAGACAAGGTAGGTGAGTTAATTTCTTTTAGAACCAATTAGAAATCTCTCTCTTTAATATCTTGGAACCAACATGGCTACAACAACTCTTTTCTCTTTGTACCCCCTCCCGCTCTCACCTCCCCCCTCTGCTGAGACTGTCCCATGTGATGGGAAAATAAGGGTTCAGTCCTGTCACTGGATTGGGTCTTGCCAGCACTGATGGGAGTGAAAGCCTGTATGCATTAATGACAGCAGCAGCTCTGGGACTCGACACACAAGGAGAAGAGATGGGAGTGAGCAGGTTATGTTTGTGCCAGGTGTGAGTTACTCATGTGGGAATTCTGTGCCATTGCGTACATGCAGAATTCATGTCCAGTGCAGAATTTTTTTTTTGCATGAAGAAAATAAATTCTGCCCAAGAAGTGCTGCAGTTCTGCCTTTCACCCACCCTGTGGCACTAGAACAGCCAGCAGCCAGTTGGGTTGATCTTGGTGGGAAATTGTTGCCCCAAGCTATACCCCAAATAGGAAGAGAGTTAGTGGGTGCAACTTGGAAGAGTCCTCAGACAAGGCTACCTCTGGGGGTGGGGACAGGTCATTGTCTACTTGCGAGAGGGTGTGGAAAGGGCACAGGAGGAGCAAGTGTCCCCCATGGAGACTGCCCAGCCCCAGGTTATCCAGTCTCAGATGCTTCTTCCCCCACCATACCCCAAACCTCTTCACCCCTCCAACCATCAGTGGCCAGTCTTCCCTCACTGCTACCCCTTCCTGACTGGCAGAGAGCCTCTAAGCCAGTAGTGTCAGGGCTCAACCTTCTGGCTGAGTCCTCGGGGCACTTTCTTCCTCTCTGAGGGTACCATGCCACAGGGGCCCCACAAATCTACATTGCTTAGGCTTTCACTTCAGTCCTGTGTGGTGGGGCTCAGGGCCCTGGACTTCAGCCCCATGCGCTGGGATTTCAGCTTTCTGCCCTGGGCCTCAGCGAGTCTAATGCTGGCCTTGCTTGGTGGCTCCCCTGAAACCTGCTAGTGGCCCCCCAGTGGGCCCCAGACCCCTGGTTGAGAACCACTGCCTTACACCACGAATCACAGCAATGTTCAGGTTACTGCTAGTCATAGAATCATAGAATATCAGGGTTGGAAGGAACCTCAGGAGTCATCTAGTCCACCCCCCTGCTCAAAGCAGAACCAATCCTCAACTAAATCATCCCGGCCCGGGCTTTGTCAAGCCTGACCTTGTCCCAAAGGACCGGTCACTTACTTAGGTCAATTGAATCTTAGATCTCACAACAAAGACAATACTTGTAGCCAGTCCTGTAATAACCTGTATTGAGACTTATTTAAAAGGAAATGAGAGTTGTTTACAAAGTTAAAGCAGGTAATAATTGTCGGAGAAAAACAGAGTTCTCACTATTTGTTTAGGTACAGCAAGTCAGATGCTTTATTAACTCTCAATTGTGCAGAGGGAGAGAGCTAAGCAGGTAACTAATTACAGCAAGCATTTATACCTTTCATTACAGAAATAATGAGGGACAG